TGCATCCCCGGATAGTACATCACATCTCCCAACTTGGAGCACTTTAGCTCCATCTCCAACATCTCCACACGGTCAATCATCGCAGATGAATTAGAGAAGAGAAGGATGTCGTCCACGTACACCAGGAGCATGAGGAACTGCTCCTTCTCTTCCAGCAGGAAGAAGCTGTGATCACACTCGCTCTTGTTGAATCCCCCAGCCAGTAGTGTCTCCTCCAGCTTGTGGTACCATGCACGAGGAGCCTGCTTCAGGCTATAGATGGCCTTCTTCAGCTTGCACACCCTGCCGCTCCCATCATCCAACCAGCTCCGCTAGGATGATCCCATTGAGGAAAGTAGTTGTGATGTGTATCTGCTTGACCCTCCATCCGCGGTTTGCAGCCGTTCCCAACATCACCCTCAGTGTAGTCCCCTTTTCCATAGGAGCAAAGATCTCATCGAAGTCCTTCCCCTTTGTCTGCTGAAACCTCTTAGCTACAAGCCTTGACTTGTAGCGGGTCAGCTCCCCATCAGGTCCGTACTTGTGCCTAAAGATCAGCTTGTAAGAAATGGCCTTCTTCCCAGGAGGCAGCTCACACAGCTCCCACGTTTCATTCTTCAGCAGAGAGTCATATTCCTCCTTCACACTCTGCTTCCACTTCCCAACATTGGGCCCACTCAAGGCCTCGGCAAGTGTCTTGGGCTCAGGGGCGGCTGCCCAGTAGCAGTGTGCTATCTTGTCCTCATCACACTGCTCAGCCACACTCCCAGCTTGTACTACCTTCGGCTTTCCAAAACTCGGATAGGTCAGCCTGTTAGGAGGGCGCATATCCCTTCTAGGACGGTCATGCGGAGGTTGGTCATGTGGTGGAGCATCTGGTTGCTGTTGCTTCTGCCGCTGCTACTGCTACTGCTGCTGGTGCTGCTCTTGCTCCTCCACCTCAGGCTCTCCCCATCCTCTGTCACTCCAGAGATCTCTTCCTCTGAGACAGTGACCTTCACTTGCCTCGAAGGCCGCTGCACCTCATTGGCCTCAATGATGAGTGGTGTAGTAGGAAGCTTTTGCTGCTGCTGCTTCCACTCCTTGTAGTACAAGGACTCGAGGAACTTCACATCCCTCGAATCAGTAAACTTATGGCTGGTCAAGTCCCATAGCAGCCAGCCCTTGTGGTCCTTTGCAATTCCCAAGTGCACAACCCATCTCCCAGAAGCATGTAGCTTTCCCCTCTTCTCTTTAGGCACATGAAACACCACCATGCAGCCATAGGCTCTCAACATGTTGACTGCTGGTGCACTCCCATACCACTTGGTGTAGGGGACCTACTGCTTGTCCCCCACAGTCGCCAGCACCCTGTTCTTCACAAGGGTGACATGTCGCAGTGCCGTCACCCAAAACGGATCCGGCAGCCCTGCACGCCCAAGGAGAGTGCGAGCACCTTCCTGCAGGGTCCGGTTTAACCGCTCAGCCACGCAGTTGTGCTGTGGGTTGTAGGGCACTATGAGCTGATGCTGAATACCCTTCTTCTTCCGCACCGCCTCAAACTCATTGCCAATGAACTCTCCTCCGTAGACGGTGCCGATCACCTTCCCCTTGTGTCCGCTCCCCCTTTGAGCTCTCGCCATCCACTCCTTGAGAACAGCCGCTGCCACTTCCCCCTTAGTCTTGAGAGGGTACACCCACAACGCATGCGTGTGGTCGTCCACAATGGTTACGAAGTAGCGGCTGCCCGAGAGAGAAGGGGCCATTGTAGGGCCTACCACATCCACGTGCACAAGCGCGAGCGGGGCCTTGGCTGGTCCCGTATTGCTACTGAAAGGAAACTTGGTGAATTTAGTTTCAGGGCACGTAGGGCACCTCCCAATCTCCTTTGCTGCCCACTTCACCTCCAACCCCTTCAAGCTCCCATCCTTCACTAACTTCTGCAGCATAGGAAAATTCACATGACACAGCCTCTAGTGCCACGTCTCCCAATCAGCCTCACCACTCCCAGATGAAGCCTTTGCCCATGCAGCTATCGCATCCACACCAGCAAGCACCTCACCATGTGGCTGCTATGGCTGCTGCACCTTCTTGACTGCATCTAGGGCCCCATTAGTTGGTGCAATCTCCTCTCCTCCCGCAGTTGCTTTAGCCGTTGCTGCTGCCGCTGCCGTTGCTGGAGGGTTCCCGTTCCAAGGGATAATGTGCAGCTTGTCAGAATGTGATGTTTGTGTAGCATGCAGTGGGGTACTCTATAGAGAGTACAGCCCGAACTAGGGTTTGCTATATGTACTCAACTGCATGCTAGTGAAAACCTCCTCTTTCATGTTTATAATTTTAGCCTAGCTTTTTCGTCATGCTATCAGAGCAGGTCGATCCTTCTAGGTCGATCCTGTGGGTGGGCCCCACCCGATGCTTCCGCTGCTCTACTGCCTGTAGCGCGCCCCGAGCGCGTGCTGTTTCCTGCCTGCCGCGCGCGGCGGTTTTCTGCCCCATCGAACCGCGCGTCGCCCCCTGTCGACCGTCGCGTCGCCCCCCGTCGCCCGACGCGGCCCGCGCGACCTTCGCCAGGCCCGCGCACGGCCCGTACAGGCTGCGCCAGGCCCGCGCGCGGCCCGGGCAGCCCGCGTGCGGTTCGTCCCGAGCTTCTGACTGCGCCCCACCCCCGCTGCTGCCCGCGCTCCTGTGTTCGGGTTTAGGGGTGGAGAGTATGGGGGTGCCGGGTGTGTGAGCCGTCCCCTGCTCCTCCTCCTCCTCCGTCTCCCACTGCTGCAGCTGCCGCTGAGGGGGGTGGATGTGTTGGAGCCGTCGGAGTGGTACGAGGGGGGGTGGCGTGTGAGCAGTGCTAGAGGTGCAGCAGGGGGTTTGTGAAAGGGGTGTGGAACAGTTGGGGGAGGTTGACAGGAGGTAGCCGACTTGTCGTCCGCAGAGCCTGAAGTCCAGGGAGCCACGACCCACTGTGGCCTGAGTAGCCACAGTGTGAGCGCTCGCTCCATTCCTCATAGTTGAAGCCATCCAATGCCTCAATTTTGGATGGTGGCGGCTCATTCCTCTTCTCAGCTGCCTCTCCACTCCCTTGACTCATCTCCTCTTCTCCCAATCACAGGTTTCAGCTCCCACATTTCTGTCCACATTGAAGTCTCACAATATTTTCACAAGTGTCGGCGCCAAAAAAAATTCGGCACAGTTTCCCCTTAGCGGAAGTCACATGCAACCTCCAAAACTCCACTTAGGCACTCTCAGAATAAGTGGAGTGAATGAATGCACTATGAAATGAAACGAGTACAAGTACCAACCCTAATTGGGTTGTACCCCTTATGGGCTACCCCACTGCAGCCTACAACACATGCATCAGCTATAATAATCTGACACACCCCCATAGGCAAAGTGGGGGAGAACAAGGGGTCACAAGACCAGTCAAGCAAAGCAAAGCAAGCTCAGGGTGGATCTCAACGTCACCACACATTCTGAGCACAAGTTCAAGGCCACAAGGCCAGTTCACATGCAGGAGAGCATATTTATAACAGTACTAGACAAGCAAGAGTAGGTATATATATATGCAACAGTACAAGCAAGGTCAAGAGGTAAGCAAGTGAGGCCCAGTTGGCACAAGACCTAGAAGAGTGCAAAAGCGCTGATGGTCACAAGGCGGAAAAGCCTTGGTGAACACATCAACAGTGTTGGCCTCAGTGGCCACGTAACGCAGACGAAGCTGACCACGCTGCTGCAGCTCTCGAGCAAGAAAGTAGCGCAGAGCAATGTGCTTCGTCCTGTGCTCCAGTCTGTGCTCCTCACACAAGGCAATGGCTGCCTTGTTGTTGTTGTAGAATTCCACTACTATAGCGGCTTGATAGAGCTCAGAAGCACGATTCCAACGCACCAAAGATAGCAGGAAACGGTCCACTATAGCCAGAGTTACACACAAACATAGCAGTGATAATGACTTGGTTGATTTCTGGTTTGTGCTCTCTGGTTTTATACTAGGACGCATTACAAAATAAAAGCACACAAGAAAGTGTCGACCCGGGTCGCACGTTGAATTTCGACGACGCGAAATTCGGGGCCTTGAATTTCGCCGAGCGAATTCCATTGACTGGAATTCCGTAGACGAGAATTTCCGCGACAAGAATTCCGTCGACCACCGACTGTAACTCCCGTGCGAATTCCGTTGACTTCGACACTTCGCTGCCGAGTTTCAAACCGAACGCGACCCGAGATCGATTTCGCCAAACTGTCCCCAATCTGTCCCCAAACTGTCCCCAATCTGTCCTGACAAGACACTTTCGGGACACTTGAATCAAAAGGTCTCCAGTTCGAAACTCGCGTGTACCAGAACCAACGCCTTAGCAGAAACTGTCCTGAATCTGTCCTGAGACACTTTCAGGACAGATTTGAAGGTCACAAGTTCGAATCCCAGCGCAGACATTCTGTTGCTCATGGCAGCATTTCCTTCTAACACGCCCCCTTGCTGTCAGGAGCACGCTGGACCAGCCCGGCTGCTGCACAGCATCGGTTGAAGGCTGCCTTGTCGAGCCGCTAAGAAGTCCGCGGGCTGCGCCGTTGTAGGGATGTGCTGCACCTCCAACTTCTTCATGCGCACCATGCGCACCACATGTGGCGACGGTCCACATGCTTCATGCGCCCCTGCAGCCCGCCCGCCTGGCTGAGCTGCACCGCTGACATGTTGTCGACGTACAGGGTGGTGGGGACACCCTTCTTGAGCAGCTGAAACTCCCACAGCAGGAACCTTAGCTTGCGCCCCTCCTTTCCTGCTTCCACCGCAGCCACAAGCTCGCTCTCGGTGGAGGAGAGCTTGGTCGCACCCTGCAGCTTCTTGGCCTGCCAAGAAACGGCAGCTCCGCCAAGCTTAAAGAGGTAGCCTCCCATGGACGAACGGTTCTCCTTGTCGCCCGCATCATCCGCATCCGCATACCCCACCAGAGTCAAGCTTTCTGGTCCTCCCGTGAACAGCAGCCCCGTGTCTGGTGAGGCAGCCCAGTAGGAGAGTGTGCGAAAGAGTTCATGCCAATGCGCATCCGTCCTTAGGTGTGCACCTGCTGCAAGGCGGCTGCACGCAAAAGAGAGGTCAGGACGGGTTGAGATAGCTGCAAACTGCACCATACCGAGAATTGACAGGTACTCGGTCATGGTTCGGTCAGCAAATTGCCCACCATCCTGCTTGGTAAAGCTGGCTGAGGAGAGAGGCGTGATCGGCTGCTTCTTTGGTGGCGCCCCCTTGAAGAACCGCTGCTGCACCTTCGCCACGTATGCAGTCTGGTGCAGGAGGAGTGTCCTGTTGGGGCGGTCGCGCACAATCTGCAGCCCCAGGTAGCGCTCCACTGGCTCCACCTCACGGAGCTGAAACGCCTTGGCCAGCAGCCCCTTCAGGTCCTGCAACAGCTGCTTGTCTTCACTTGCCACTAGCAAGTCATCCACGTAGATTAGCAGCCACACGCGCTTCCCGCTCGCCCCATCCTTGTAGTATAGGGCCTGGTCCACAAGGCTCTTCCTGTACCCCTCCACAAGGAGCACCTTGTCCAGCTCCTTGTACCACAGAAGGGGACTCTGCTTGAGTCCGTAAAGGCTCTTGTGCAGTAGGCACACCTTGCTGCTGCCGTCAGTGAAGTAGGGTGGCTGCTGCATGTAGATCTCGTGGTCGATGGTGCCGTGAAGAAATGCATTCTTCACATCAAGCTGCAGCAAATCCAGGTCCATAGCTGCTGCGATTGAGAGGAGCACGCGAACGGTGGTGTAGCTGCCAACAGGAGCATAGGTGTCGTTGTAGTCAATGCCGAAGCGCTGGCTAAATCCCTTTGCCACGAGCCTGGCCTTATACTTCTCCATGGTGCCATCAGGTCGCAGCTTCTTCTTTAGTAGCCACTTGACGCCGACTGTTTTGCGACCTTCGGGTAGGTCGGCCAACAACCAAGTGCCTTGCTCCTCAAGGCTCTCCATCTCCTCCTTCATAGCAGCCCACCATTCCTTGCCTTCAGGTCCGGTCAACGCAGCTGCCAGGTCGAGGATGACACCTCCCCAAGCGCCTTCCTCCTCCTCATCCTCGTCCGGGTACTCCACTTCGTCATCGCTGTCCGTGTCGCAGTCGTCCTCAGCAAGGTACGCCATGTCGTACGGGTTCTCCTCCTCGTCCACATCATGGGCCGTCAGGGCTGATGGCTGAAACCGTACGGGTGGCACCCCCTTATTAGGCCTGCCGGAGCGACGTAGGGGTTGTGGAATGGGCTGGATGGGAGGAGCTGCAAGTGAAGGCTCATGCTCAAGGGCCACCGGCAGCTGCTCATCCACTGCTACCTCTAGTTCCTCCTCAAGATCAGCCGTGTTGCCTCCATCCTCAAGGGGACCATCTTCTGGTCCCACGGGCGCCGAATCAGCAACGGAGGGTGGACCGAAAGGAGGAGGTGCAGTAGGTGCCTTGCTGCCCAAAGGGCCCACCGAGCGATCAAGGGGTTGCTCACCCCCTTGCACAGACGGCACCGGGACCATGATGACGGTACGTGGTGGCGGCAGATTCTTCTCGGGGTCGTGGGGCTCAGGAAAGAGAGATGGGACTGAAGCAAAGGGTGGTGTGGGCTGGTCATTCCCATCACCCGCCTGTGCACGCCACTTTTGCCACCTTGCAAGTGACATATCCTCATAAAAACGTGCATCCTGGGTGATGACCATGCGATGTGACTCAACATCCACCACACGCCATCCCTTGCTTTCCATGCTCATGCCCAAATGCATGCCCCAACGTGTTTTGCTTGCAAGCTTCCCCTTACGCTCGTGCTCAGGAATGAGGTACTGAACCATGCACCCGAATACACGGACCATGGACACGTCGGGCTTGACTTTGAACACCACCAAATGAGGGGTCACACCATGGGGCAGGGTGGACTGGTGCACACCGTTTACCACCCACAAGAATTGCTGGAAAGCGAAGTGCCACCAGTGTGCTTTCACCCCCATGTGCCCCAACATCACACGCATGCCCTCGGTTACCGTACGGTTGCGGCGTTCAGCCACACCGTTCTGCTGGGGGGTCGAGGGGCAGGAGAGTTGACGCAAGATCCCTCGATGCTTCAGCAGCAGCAGGAACTCGTTCGACATAAACTCTCCTCCCCGGTCCGACCGCAGCACCTTCAGCGTTATCCCGGTTTGGCGTTCAGCTTCGGGGAGCCACTCCTTGAAGGCAGCAAGCGCGTCGCTCTTCAGCTTCAACGTCTTCCCCCAGGTGTAACGTGAGGCGTGGTCGACAAAAAGAATGTAGTACCTGCTTCCATCCATGGCTGGGGTCTGAAATGGACCGCACACGTCAGTATGGACCAGCCCAAGAACTTGCTCCTCTCGCTCGTCGTGCAGCGGAAATGATTCGCGAGTGAGTTTGGCTTCATGGCAGGAGGTGCACGGCATATCCTCACCTCCTTTCTCCAGGTCCATACCGAACACGCCACCGCTCGTGGCTGTCCGCTTCACCGCATCGAAGTGGACGTGTCCAAGGCGAGCGTGCCACAGGTTGGGCGTTGCCTTGGAGCCCACCGCGTAAGTCTTGAGGCTGGCCGCTCCATCGTTAGCTTCCGGCTTGCTTGACGCCACATCAGCAATCTCCTTCGCCATGCCGTTGCTTGCCGTTGCAGCCGCCGTGCCGTTGCATGCCGCTCCAGCCCCTGTGCCATTGCTCGCCGCTCCACCCGCCATAACGGTGCATGCCGCTGCAGCCGCCGTGCCGTTGCATGCTGCTGCAGCCGTTGCACCATTCCTTGCTGGCCCCGGTTTCAGGTCAAGGCAGTGAAGGCGATGGCGGTATCGTGCCGTTGCAGCCACTTGACCTCCTGATGCGATGATGCGAGTGACACCTTCCTCGGTTTGCAGCTTTGCTCCCTTGTCCAAGAGCTGCCCAGGGGAGACCAGGTTGGCCTTCATTCCTGGCACAAAGAGGACATCATGTAGGGTCACACGCAAGCCGTTAGTGCCCTCCAGCAAAACCTCACCAACACCGGCAACTTCCTGCATAGAACCATCAAACCCTTTGACTGATTTCGTTGTAGATGGGTCACGGATCACCGTGAACCACTCCTTGCGGCCGGTCATGTGTTGGGAGCATCCCGAGTCAAGGAACCACAAGTCCTTGTCGTCGGCCAGCAACTTTGCAGCCGAACACGCGACGGTGAGTGCCACGCCCTTCCCGTCTCCTTCAGCTACGTTCGCGGCTGCCGCGGGCGTTGTATCTTTCTTCTTGTTGGGGCACTTGGCAGCCATGTGCCCCTCCTCATTGCAGTTGTAGCAGCGCCCCTTGAAGGGGGCTCGCTTCTTCTCCCGCTTGCCATCCTTCTTCTTGTCCGTCTGCTCCTTCCCCCCTTTTCCTTCCTTCCCGTTGTTGACCCCCGTTGTAGCCACGACCGTGTTGACAGCGCCCGAGAAAGCAGATGCATCGCCGGTGATCTGCTTGTAACTGTGTTCGATGGAGAGAGTCTGCTCCTCCATCAACACCTCACTGCACACACGTTCCACCGTCATGTCAGGGCTGGAGATGTCGAGCTTGCGGCGAAGGAACCCGTACTCTGGTGGTAGGCCCTTCAGCACGTGAGCGGCAAACGTGGCCATGTGGACCTCCTGTCCCATGGTCAGCAGCTCCGCTCGGATGGTGCAGGCCCTATTGCAGTACGATTCCGCCGTCTCATCATCTCCTTTCCTGAGTTGGGCTAACTGGGTCTGAAGTAGGGAAGCGTGGAGGGCATCACGAGCTTGATAAGTAGACAAGATATATGCCCATGCTAACTGCCCGGCTTTCTCTTGTTGAGTGAAACCAGAGATGGACATTCGGATGGGTGGAGAAACACATCGGTTCAGCACCATAAATGCAAGCATTTGGCCCTTTGCGTACTCCCTTCGTTGCAAGGGGTTGTTCGGGGCCGGGCTTGGTGCTGTCCCGTTGCAAAACTGCCACAAATCAGCACACTGGAGCTGAGGTCGGATAGCGCTGACCCACGCGGTAAGGTCGTGCCTTCCCTCCAGCAGCGGCGTCACGGAGATGTGTTCAACTCCGAACTTGAATTGACCGTAGCTTGTCCCGATCAATCCCACGTCAATGGTCGGTGCAACAGCTCCTCCGCCAATGCCCACGGCAGTTGGAGCTTCGTGCACAGCTCCTCCTTCACCAGTTCCTCCTTGCTGGCCGCTCGCAGGTGCTTGCTCCGCCGCTCGCAAGTGCTTGCTCCGCCGCACGCTCCCGAACCATGCGTAGTAGACGACCGTCCACAATGAGGTCGACTTCCTCATCACACAAGTGGGGATGGTGCTCACGAACGGACGCCTCCAACTCTAGACGGGCATTCAGGCCCTCAGCGCTCATTAACCACTCCATGCGCAGTCAAAACGAGCGTCGGCCACACCAACGTGGGAACGAAGTGATGGGAGGACAAAATCAAGCCGCTAGTTGGATCGACGCAGATAGCGCAGCTCTGATACCATGTAGAATTCCACTACTATAGCGGCTTGATAGAGCTCAGAAGCACGATTCCAACGCACCAAAGATAGCAGGAAACGGTCCACTATAGCCAGAGTTACGCACAAACATAGCAGTGATAATGACTTGGTTGATTTTTGGTTTGTGCTCTCTGGTTATATACTAGGACGCATTACAAAATAAAAGCACACAAGAAAGTGTCGACCCGGGTCGCACGTTGAATTTCGTCGACGCGAAATTCGGGGCCTTGAATTTCGCCGAGCGAATTCCATTGACTGGAATTCCGTAGACGAGAATTTCCGCGACAAGAATTCCGTCGACCACCGACTGTAACTCCCGTGCGAATTCCGTTGACTTCGACACTTCGCTGCCGAGTTTCAAACCGAACGCGACCCGAGATCGATTTCGCCAAACTATCCCCAATCTGTCCCCAAACTGCCCCCAATCGGTCCTGACAAGAAACTTTCGGGACACTTGAATCAAAAGGTCTCCAGTTCGAAACTCGCGTGTACCAGAACCAACGCCTTAGCAGAAACTGTCCTGAATCTGTCCTTAGACACTTTCAGGACAGATTTGAAGGTCACAAGTTCGAATCCCAGCGCAGACATTCTGTTGCTCATGGCAGCATTTCCTTCTAACAGTACAGCACTGGAGGAGAACGAGGCCGCTCTCCAAGGTCAGTCAGCAGGTAGGTGAGCCAGCGTAGCTCCTGGGCAGCCATGGCTGTGGCGTAGATCTCAGCCTCACAGCTGGAGCTGAGAACAGAATAAGAGCATGTAGAACGCCAAGAGACAGAGCCAGAGCGAAGACTGAAGGTGTAACCCTGTGACGACCGCTGAGTAGCCTGGTCGTCCGCCCAAGAAGCGTCTAAGTGCCTTGTGAGAACAACTCAGTCTCGCCCTCCAAGCACTAGCCCCAAGCCCGACGTACTGCACAAATAGCGCAACACCCTCTTAGCTGCATCCATGTGCTCCTTCCGGTGACGGCCGGGAGCGACATAGCGTGCAAGGATGCTAAGAGGGTATGCAAGGTCAGGTCGTGTGCAGGTCATCAGGTACATGAGGCAACCCACAAGCTCTGGATACGGGCCACTCGGCTCTACGGACTCATCCGAAGGCAGAGGTGAGAGCGAGTGACCGGTAGGCAGAGGAGTGGGCTGAGGCGAAGAGTACGTGAAGCGGAAGCGCTGAAGGACCTGCTGCACCATGTGTGACTGAGTCAGGGTGATAGTGCGCCGTGCTCTGTCCCGGGTGATCCGCAAGCGAAGAAAGCTTGTCAGTTCACCCAGGTCTGTGCACGTGTGTCTCTTCTGCAGCTCCGACTTCACGTGGGCGAGTGCCGCAGAGTCAGCAGTGGCAAAGACCAAGTCGTCGACGTACACGAGGATGTAGAACGGCGGCAGCGAGGTGTCGGTGCGCAGAAACAGCGACGGGTCAGCAGTAGAAGGAGCGAACCCAAGAGCCGCAAGTGTAGTCCTCAGTGTGTCGTGCCACTCGCGTGGCGCCTGGCGGAGACCGTAGACTGGCCGCCGGAGGCTCCACTGGGTACCAGGAGGGAACGACCCAGTGAAGCCAGGAGGGCGGCGCAGCCAGATCTCCTCGTGCAGGCTGCCTTGCAAGAAAGCAGTGCTGAAGTCAAGAGAGTGGAGCTCGTAGTCACGCTGAGCAGCGACGTGCAGCAGAACCCGAAGAGTGGTCATCTTCGGGGTCGGGGAGAAGGTCTGGAAGAAGTCAACTCCCTGCCGCTGACTGAAGCCACAAGCCACGTAACGCGCCTTGAAGACAGGCGGAGAACCAGGCGGCCGCTTCACCCTGAAAATCCACATGCCACTGACGATGTTCGCCCCAGGTGGGGGTTCCTCGTCGACGTAGGTGCCTGTGGACTTCCAGAAAGCCATCTCTGCGTCCATGGCTGACTGCCACTGAGAGGAGTAGGGACCGGCCATCGCCTCTGCGTAAGAGCGTGGGGTCGGGATGTCTGGTGCATCCGGGTCTCCCTCAGGGGCAACAAGCATGGACACGAGATGGGGCAAAGCGGTGGCAAAGCACTGGAACTCCTCCTGCCTGTCCTCAAGGACGTCTGTGCCAAGAGCACACTCACCCCCGACGGACGGAGGGCAGGAAGACTCAGACTCAGCAACAAGACTCGCGGCGTAGTCTAGACGACATGCGGCAGCAAAGTCGACCAGCTCAGCAACTAAGGCAGACGCAGCAACGGACTCAAAGGAAGGGTCAGTGACAACAGTAGCAAGGAGACACGTGACAGTAGGACTAGCAGCACGAAGAGAGTCCGAGTCCGGGTCGGCAAGCGCACGAAGAGAAGACTGAGGAGGAGAAGGCAAAGGGGCACGCAGAGGAGCAGTGGACGGACGCAGAGACATCCGGTGCGTGCCAGGGACAGGAGGAGGACGCTGACGCGAACCGCAACCACTAGGACGAGCAGCACGGACAGGCGAAGTAGGGCGAGACGCAGGCTCACGACGCTCAGCAAGACCTCCAGTAGGACCAGCATAGGGAGACGGAGCAGGCAGTGGGGAGGCGGCCTGTAACTGTAACTGTGACTGGACAGGCGGTGGACACTCTAACGGAGGAGAAGGACCAGTGGAAGACGGGAGACCAAGAACCTGCTGAAGGAGCGGAACGAAGTACGGCCGAGGCCGCGCGGCAACTCCAGACACAGCAGGGACAGCACCAGCACCTCCAGAGGCAGCACCAGTACGAGTAGCAGCTCCAACTCCAGTACCTCCAGCAGCGCCAGCAGTACCCCCAGTAGGACCGCCTCCAGGACCAACAGCAGTAGACTCCGCGCCAACACCCGCAGCAGCTCCAGCTCCAGAGGCACCTGCATGTCCGGCAGCTCCAGTACTCCCAGTACGAGCACCTCCAGGACCCGTAGCACCAGCTCCCTCAGCAGCAACAGAACCTCCAGCGCCCGTAGCACCTCCAGCTGCAGCAGCTCGCCTCCAGCGCAGGGCAAACCACTCACGCAACTCCAGTGGAGAGAGCGGCTCTCGGCGAGAAGAAAGACTCGGAGAACCGTCAGGCTCAGCACCCTCAGGCTCAGCACCCCCAGTCTCAGTTCCCAGGCTCAGCACCCTCAGACTCATCACCCCCAGACGTAGCACTCCCAGGCTCAGCACCCCCAGGCTCAGCACCCTTAGACTCAGCACCCCCAGGCGTAGCACCCCCAAGCTCAGCACCCCCAGGCTCAGGACCCCCAGGCGTAGCACCCACACGCTCAGCTCCCCCAGGCCCAGCACCCGCAGCAGCACCAGAGTCACCAGTGACCACGACAGGCTCAACAGCGTCTACCTGGGACACACCTGAAGGGGCAGGACCCTGAGGGGGGAGGGGATCTACCGGGGGGGACCTGGGACAAGGAAGAGGGGTGGCGGGGGGAGGGACGGAGTGCGGTAGGGGAAGAGCCGGTAGTAGGGGACCGACTCGTCGAACGTGACGTCCTGGGAGGACAGAACACGGCGAGAGGTGGGGTGGTAGAACTGCCACCCAGGTGCATCAAGGGGGAAACCCAGGAAGACGGAAGGAGCAGCACGAGGGGACAGCTTGTCCGCGGACAAGTCGCGGACAAACGCCCGAGATCCCCAGACACGGAACGCAGACGCATCGCCAACCTTCCCCGTCCACAGCAGAGCTGGGGAGGTCTCCGGCATGGAGACCCTGGGCTGAAGGTTGATCTAATGCGCCGCGTACCGAACCGCAAACGGCCACAGAAAATGGGGGGCAGCCGCATGCATCATGGACGTACGGGCGACGTCCATGACCATGCCGATGCGGCGCTCAGCAATCCCATTCTGCTGTGGAGAGTCCGGAAGCGTGAAGGTCTGGCGGATGCCTCGTGCACGACAGTAGGCTCGCAGAAGGCCAAAGGAGAACTCTCCGCCTCTGTCCGAGTGCAGACGCAGAACAGGAAAGTCCAAGCTGAAGCTCCGCCTGAGCTGGAGACGAGCTGCGCGGATCCAGTCGATCAACACCTCAGTGACCTCACCCTTGCTGCGCAAGGGGAAGACTGTGGTGTAACGCGAGTAGTCGTCAACCACCAGCAGGAAGTAGCGCTCGTGACCCTGTCCACGGACGCGGGCTGGGCCCCACACGTCCATGTGAAGCGTCTGCAGTGGGGCCTCTGTCGGAGGAAACTGGGAGGAGTGAAGGGTAGCCCGCAGCCGTCCCTCAACACAAGGAACGCAGGTCGGGCCAGGCCCCGGAGGAAGGGGAGGGAGGGACCGCGGAAGGCCAGAGACAAGGACACGGGAGGCCATGCTCCCGAGACGAAGCAGGGAGGGGTGACCAAGGCGGTGGTGCCAGAGGAGAGTCTCGTGAGACAGGAGGCGACACGAGCAAGGGGCAGACTCAGGACCAGACCTGGACGCTGCAGTAAATACCTGACCCGACGCAGCTACCTGACCAGACGCAGGAAGTGGAGGAGACGCGGTAGTGAGTGTGTATAGACTCGACCCCGGCCGATGCGTAAACGTGGCCAAGTGTCGGCCCGTGTCCGCGTCCGTGCAGTGGGTCACACGCTGACGCGCAGGGGTGAACTGGTCAACCCCACCATCCTGTAGGTCAGCACCCGCCACCAAGTTCGTAGAGAACGAGGGGAGGTAAAGACCCGACAGGGAGCCAGACGGGACCGCAGGGCATGGAAGGACAGTGGAGTAGTGAGCCAGAACAAGACCCCCAGAGGGGTCTGCCAGGGAGACTGCAACTGGCCGACTAAGCGGCGTGAGTGTGGTGCGGTCTTGAAAGAAGGAGCGAGACGTCCCCGAGTCAAGTGTGAAGGTGTGGGAGGCCGAAGC